ACGCCCCCCCAGCCGAGAGACGCGTCCGTACCGAACACCTCGGGGCAAGGCTGCGCCCGAAGGTCGGTTATAGCCGTAAAGGCTAAAAAGGTGCAGGCCAAAAGCTCGTCGCGAACATAAGGAGGCAAGTCGTATTCAATGCCCTCCTCGGTCGCCAGGCGCGACAGGAAGTTGTAGACGTGCGTGAAAATGGCGAGCATCGGACGGCGATAGAGGAACACCTGGACCCAGCAGCCCACAAGAGAGGCTAACAGGGAGCGTGTGGTGATGCCGAGGTAGATTTGGATCAGGGTCAGCCTGCACAAGGCCACCGTCCGCACTAAGGGAGCGCAGACGATGCCTATGCGCCCTTCCACCTCGGCGCCCACCACCACCTTGTGCGTTTCGCCGCGCGCGCGCTTGCCTGGATGCTGAATCAGGCCCACGCGCGGGTAGCCTGCATCGCAGGCGGCGAAGACCTCACGATCACGACGACAGGGGTCGTCGGGGCGAGGAGCGGAGCCATGCCACGAGAGCTTCTGAAAACCTGCATGGTCATCAATATTCAGCATCTCGACAAACGGTCCCCGCGGGAAGGGCGAGCGGTGGACAACCTGCTCGTGAGGCCGCAAGGCCCCGAAGCTGTGCAAGACGCCTTCATGTGCAGAGTTGGCAATCTCCACCGCCATGTTGTCGCCCATCGCTAGAGCATTGAGGCAAGGCGCGACGTCCACACCTTCGAGCTCGGGGCGCCAGGCTCGAAAGGCCTTGAAGCGGGATGATGGCAGACGAACGCGAAGGGCGTTACGCCTGGCGCGCGCGGGAGGAACGCGGAAAGTGTAGTAAAACTCCCGTAGGTCGTCGCAAGAAACTGCCAGCCACTCCCCAGGCGCCAGACCCAAACGGCACAGCAGGAAACCCTGGCCAAGGCGCTGGGTGCTGGACGAGATTGAGGCACAGCGGCTGTTCACGACCGTTGGGTTCAGGATCAGCCTGTCGAAGTCGCTGTCCTTCGGTACCCTGAAAGCTCCGCAGGCTTCATCCCAGGCGAGGTCCGAAGCAGGAGTCAGGTACAGGGCGCCGCAGGCATCCCACTTCTGGAGCAGGGCCCACAGCTCGGCGCGGTCCATATGGACACGCGCCCCCTTTTGGCCAGCAGGCCACTCTGACGCCGGGAGCCGCATCTCCTCTGGATTGATGAACGCTTCGCGGACTCGAGCGTCAGAGAGAAATGGAATGGGATCAAACACTGGCGAGTAATCCCACTTAATGCGAGACGCCCTGACTTTTAAATCGAAGGGCTCGACCTGGGTGGAGTCCCAAGCCGCCGCAGACGCCAGCGAACCAGGCACGGAAGGAGCGCTGGTCGGGCAGTGCCGCATGGGGGCGGGCACGGAAGAAGAGGAGGTGAAGGAGGCCTCCAAAGCTGCAACATGGGTGGCCAGGCCATGGAGCGAGACCTCAGTAGAGTCGAACTTGGCGAAGGCTCGACCTAAGTCGCTCTTGCCACCACGGGCAAGGCGAACTGCGATCCGACACAACCGTTCGATACGGGTGCGGACGCCCTCCTGGCAGGGCGAGACCGTGGCGCGGACACGAGCCTCGGCGGGAGCGAGGCTAGGATGACCCAAAGTGAGCCAGTTCAACGCAATAACAGAATACTGCGCGAGCGTCCGCGCCGCGCGCCGCAATCTCCAGCGCTCCCTGCGCCTCGCCGACAAGCCGTCAGGCGGGGGACCAAGAGGTGGAGCAGGCGGGCACGGCCAAGGATCGCGGGGAGGCGGCCCCAAAAGGTACGGGTCGTCCCTGTCCATTGCACGCATTGATGAGCGGGAGAAAGATCCAAGAGAACATCGAGCACCCATCCCAACCTGGGACAGCGCTGCCGCCCAGTGGGTGATATCAATGTTCGCGCCTGGAAACAGGCGCAGCAAGGCAGACAAGTCAGCGACAAATGGCGCGACGTTGGCAAGAGCAGCAGGGGTGCTTGAAGGAGAACAAGCACCAGCAAGAACACCAACCTCAGGGGCTGCAGGCCCCATGGGGGGAGCGCTCGACTGAGGCAGGTGACGGCCAAAATGGCCGAATGGATCCGAGGGGCGGTTCGGAGCAGAGCGAGGGGCGTGGTGGCGGAACGTACTCCTCCCTGCGGGGCCGCAACAGCATCGCTGGAGGAGCGCATTCCTACCCTCACGCCCTCGCTGCGCCCAAACACGCCTAGCAGCCGTAGCAGCGTCGGTGCAGACTGTCTGCGGCGGCGTACCCCGGCCACGCGAAGGCCCCCCCTCCAAGAAGGCGGGCGCCAAGGGCATCTTCAGTCCTTCTTGGGCACCGCCTTCGGGGCCTTGGGAGCACCCTGAGACTTGAAGGGGGGCTTTGAGACCTTGGGCTGCTTGGGCTGATGAGGTGGATGCTTGGGGAGCGCGACGGCGCGCTCGGCGTCGAGGCGCGCCCGAAATGCTTGCAGCTCCTTCATGTATTCGCCCTGCGCCGACAGCCAGCGAGGATCCACTAGGGGTGAAAACGGGGTCTGGGCCTCGCGCTCCGTGTGACGACTGGTCACGCGACACGGGGGAGGCTCCAGCCCCGTGAGGAACCAAGCGGCCTCGAGGTAGCCGCGGTCCCCCGCCAACTGGTCGATGAACATGCACTGGCAAGTCAGCAAGGTCTGGACCCTCTCGGGGTTGCCCTCCTCGCAGGCCCGCCACAGCTCGGCGCTGAGGAAGGCAAAATGCGTCAACAACTCGTGCGTCGACGGCTGAGCCCCGAGGGGGCTGTGCTCGCGAAAGTACTGATGCATGGCCATGGGGGTCACGGCGCTGACTTCCACGCCCAGAACGCGGGCCAAATTCTCCTTCATCAGTCCTCGCACGTCGGGGCCGTGCTGCATCAGCGCTTGCTGCCACTCGCGCCTCCGAGCGATTCCCCCCATCTGAGCCGATGCGTGCGCGGGGTCGCCCGAGGTCGCGGGCGGAGTTTGAGCTTGGTCGCTCAGGGTCCCCAGAAGCGGGTGGAAGGCTGGGCGATGGCCCCGCCCCTGCTGCAAGGAAAGGGACTGGTGCAGGCACTGAAGCATGAGGCTGAAGTCCGTCGGATTGGCCGCAAGGGGCGGCTCTAACCCGTCGGCGCCGCCCGCCTCGGCAAAGCCGTCGACCGCAGCGGGATGGGCTAGCCCAGGCGGCGGCGGGGGGCCCATCGGTCCGGAAGCGGACGAAGGGGCCCGAGGGACAGCAAGAGAGCGCGCCTTCTCCCACGCCGAGACCAGCGCGGAGGTGGGTCCCTTGGGGCGCGCGGAGACCCGATGTGGGGCCACGGGCGCGTGGGACAAGACGGCCTCGATCCCCGCAGGATCCAGCCCGAGGCGCGCCGCCTCGTCGCTGAAAAGCTGAGGCACCTCGGGCCGAGCGCTCCGGGCAGCCGGAGCGGGGCCCAGCGGTTCGGGTCCGCCGACCATCGTGGAGGCCGCGTGGGCTGCAAGCAAGGCGCGCATTTCGGCAGCTACCTCGGCGCGGGTCATGGGAGCCCCGTCGTCCAGAGACGCCGCAGGAGCACCAGGAGCAATCGGAGCAGGACCCGCGACCCGTGGCGGCGCGGCGGCGCCAGCGCGCTTGGCGGGCGGGCCGCGCGGCGCTCCAGCGACCGCGGGGGCTCGCGCACTTGGGGCCGCGCGGTCGGCTTCCCCGTCGGCCGCGAACCCCTCGGGCTCCTCCATCTCGTCGGCAGAGTGGTAGGGGGTAGCCCGATCGGCCCCTGGGAGAGGCTCTTCCCCTGCGGTAGGCGGGGCGCCGTGCAAACGAGCGTAGCCCTCGCGAAGCACCCGAACCCCCGAAGGATGCGGCCAATAGACGCGGCTGCGCACCTCGGCGAAGGGAGGTGCCTGCGTCGTCGCCGACCTCTAGAGGGCACAGCGACTCGAGCTCGAGCTCGGCAACCTCGATATCTATAACGAGGACGGATGCGGTAGTGGCGAGCGGCCGTGAAGCGGCCCCCTGGAGCTGGACGTCCACTAGCTGGAAGGGGCCTATCATCCCAGCAAAGCCATCCGCCTCGGCAGCCTCGAGCTCCGCTGTAGAGCGAAAGGCACCAGGCAGGGCCAGCAGGATGCCCCCTTCTCGAGAGGCGAGGGGGATAGCCGCCCAGCTGGTGTCGCCGTCGTCTAGGCGCCATCGTGCGTAGTCGCGCGCCGTGGGCGCAGCGAAAGGGTAGAGCTCGGGCCAAAGGGGCCCTCCGCCAACTGGTGGCAGCTCCGCCATCAGTGGGCGCCGCCGTGGACGCCGCCGCCCGCACGCTGGGCGTCTGCCCGCTCGAGCGCTTGAGGTCGAGGCGGAGCCCCGTAGGCCAGCGCTCGCGCCGCACGGCGGTCCTGCTCAGGTGAAGCAGAAACCGCGCCGCGCGGCCAGGCGGAGGGCCAGAGCCTCCGCCACACGTACGGGCCCAGCAGCCCGAGGCAGCAGCCCGCGCAGGCGCTGCAGGCGGCCGTCACCCAGAGGAGGGCGGCGACCGTGCTGAGCAGCCAGGGAGAGACCCCGCCGCTCAGGTCCACCGCCAGCCCGAGGCAGACGGTGGGGCAGGTGGAACCCGCCGAAGGGAGAGGGCAGGAGGCCCCCTCACCCTCGGACGAGTCCGCCTGCTGGATGGACCAGGCAGGCGATGGAGGCCCCTGGTCCTGAAGCACAGAGAGGGGGGCAGCCACGAGCCGCTCGTAGAGCGCGGCCCGCAGCCCCCTGAACAAAATCTCCCCAGCGCCCTGGAGAGCCGCTTGTGCGACCGCCTGCATAAGGCGCCCGCACGCGCGGCCGACGGGGGGCACTTGGGCAGAGAAGCTGCGGAGACAGCAGGAGCTTGCTCACAGAGAATAGAAGAGGCATGATGATGATGACGATGCTGATCGCCCGAACTGCCCATTCTGCACTCCTGAGGTTAATGCTGCCGAGCGCGGCCTCCTTTGACCGCGTCCTACATATCCATCCACCCCCCCATGCTGCTTCCCCTCCTCGCCTCCGTCGGCCCTTCCATGAGAATACATGGACATCATAGGCCTTCATTGTTTGGCACTGCTTTTATGCTCCCGTGATCCTGCCAACCTCGTATCATCCTTATGTGGGGAACTCCGTTAGCATAATTTCATAAAAGCGTACTGTCGCGCGCCAACAGGCCGTCGAAAACGCCTGCCCCCCGCAGAAATTGCAAGACGCGCGCTCAGCCGATCCGAAAATGCTGCTGACTTATCCCGCAGCGCAGCCCTCTGCCTCGCGGGAACACCCTCACCACGGCCCGAAGAAGCCGTTGGCGTTCGCGAGCACGGAGCCGAAGAAGAGGATGGTGATCGAGATCACGTAGTTGTTCCCGCCCACGCCCCCCAGGCTGAAGCCCGCGGGCGGCGGAGGGGTGGTCGTCACCGGCGGGCCGCCGAAGAACTGCATCTCCACCGAGGGGGCGCGCTGGCCCGCGCGAAGCCCCGCCGGGGAGGCGCCGACGAAGGACAGCGCGAGGGAGCCCACCAGCAGGGCGGCAGCGGCCGCGACGGCGCAGGCCAGCAGCAGGGACGCGGAGCGGGCCATCGCGGGGCCTGCGAGGGGTATGCCGAGGGGCGGGGGCGTGCGGGCGGTGCCGCGAGGAGTGCTCGGCGCTAAACGGCTCGAGCCAAAATGGCCACGGATGCCCTGGGACCAACTTTTCATCCCGAGCTATTCTTGGACGGCCCCCGGGGACCAGGACGATCCCCGAGAGGCCGAATACGGCGGAGTAGCTCCAGGTCCACGTCCCTCAGGATCTCCTTCGTTCTTCTGTGCCTCCTCCTCCTCTTCCTCCTCCTCCTCCTCATGCTCTCCCCTTTCCCTCCTCGTCGGTTCTCCTCCTCCTTTTCCTCCTCCCCCTCCTCCTTCTCCTCCTCCTCCTCCTCGTTCCTCCTCCTCCTCCTCCTCCTCCTCCTCCTCCTCTTTTATTGTCGGTCCTTGTTTTCTTTTCCCTCCTCCTCCTCTTCCTCCTCCTCGTCTTCGTCCTCCTCCTCTTCGTCCTCCTCCTCGTTCCTCGCTCCTCGCTCCTCGCTCCTCGCTCCTCCTCTTCCTCCTCCTGCTCCTCCTCCTTCGTCCTCCTCCTCGTGGGCCCACCCCCCTCGACCTCCCACCCCCCCCCTCCGCCTCCCTGGTGATCCTGGGCCTCCTCGCCTCGCCTCGCCTCGCCTCGCCTGACCGCGGCGGCGCGGGGCGCGGCGGGCCCGCCGCGTCGTGCGGGGCCGGGCCCGGCGCGGCGCCGCGCCTGCCCCACGGGGGGGACTTCGGGGGCGGTCGGGCGGTCCACCCCGCCCCGCCCCAGCGAGGATCGAGGATCGGGCCCCTCGACGAGGGCCGAAGCCTCGGGGCCTCGACGAGGAGCGAGGCTTCCCTCGAGGCCTCGACGGGGAGCGAAGGCCTCGAGGCCGCGGCGCCTCGCAGAGGGTCGAGTTTCAGGAAGGACAAAACACGCACAGACACAATGAATCGGCGCGCCGCGGGCACCCCGCCCCGATGGGCCACGGGGGAGGGCAGCGAAATAACCTCTGGCAAAGGGGGGGCAACACAGGCAATCCCACCGGCCCTCTGGGCGCGCGTGGTTGGTGGAGTCTCTTTCTGCCTCTTCCTCCGTCCCCTTCGGGAGAGGGTTTGCCACGCGGGGGCGGCAATCGAAGCGCAAGCCAAACAATTTGAAGGAATGCAATTGGTGATGGCTCAAAAAATGCTCGCTTTCTTTTCGCATCAAACAAACCAGCGTTAACCAGACCCCACGAATGTAATAAAAATTCGCACTCCAACAATTAATTGAGAATGGAAGCGTTGCTGGCTCCAGCTGGGTACGACTTTACAATAGTTAGATCGTCAACGCAACATATTTTCTTGAACCCATACTGCTGGATGGCGGCGGCGACGCGCTCCACAACAGCAGGCCGAGAACAAACCCCAGAAGGGTTAATGTTTGCCAATGCGATCGCGTCTGACAGCTCCCCTACCACCTGGGCAGTCCGCGACCCATCTTTCGATTGCCTTGAGAATATGGCGCGGAATCGAGGCAGAAACCAGCTTCTGTAGCAATTCTTTGAACGCCCTGTTAAACGCACCAGGTATGTCAGATTTCTACAGACCAATGCGACGACCAAGCACGAACGCATTCAGACAGAACATTACGAACCAAAATAAAACATCACGGGCGCCACGGAATCATGCTCTTGAAACATGGCTATCAAATAGAAAACGAGGCAACGACAATCTGCAACTGACGAATATGTGAATGGGAAGAACAAGAGAAACCAATCGAACACTGGTTCGCCGCCAGAATTCCGCTTTCCCGAGAAACACAACGTCTTCGGGAACCTCCGAAGATTGGCGGAATACCCAGGCCTGAAACGACTTGGGCAAATCGGGCCACATGTGTTTAACAACGTTCGGCCTCTGAAGGTGAAATGCTGTCCCCTCGGGAGGATGCCGAAAACTTTTGGGAACCGGATATTCGAGCAGTAGCCCACGCCGGTGTCAGAAATATCGAACGCACCCCGTTACACCTACAGGGCAGGGGAACGGAACAGAAGGGAAGGAGAGATAGCGAGGCGGATCTGCAAAATCTTTGGGGCCCCTGATATTCAAATGGTGCCGTGGCAGCGATCCCGCCCGCGCCGGTGCAACTGCATAGGAAACTATCGCATTTCACGGTGTCCCCGAGCCTTCGGAACTGCGGGCCCTAACGAGCCTCCCACGCGCCCCAGAGCGTCCGTAGACCGCCTCAGGAGCATTTACAACATCTGCTCATCTTCCACGCGCTCTCTCTCTCTCTGGTTTGTTTCTTTCTCTCTCTCTCTCTCTCTCTCTCGTTCTTTTTTTACGTCCGCCACCATGCCCGCGAGGGCGAGTTGGAGCGCCCTCGAGGACCTCGAGCTCTCCGCCCTCACGATCCTTTAGGGGCCCGCGACCCCGAGCCCCAGCGGCGCCTGGGCACCCCGCGGTAACTGTCGGACCTTCTCGCGTGGATCCCCGGTGCCAAAACGGCCCCCAAACGGGCCAATGACGCCCCGAGGCCCCCGAGAAGCCGGGGGCGCGAGAGCCATCCCATGTTTGTTAACAGGTAAATGACGATGGCGCGGCGAAGGATGTCGATGGGAGGAGACAGAAGCCTTCCGCCACCCCCGACGCTGCAGATCGAATGCCGGCAGTCCGCCAACGCTGGCAGATGGGGCGGCGCTGCCTTGAGCCGGGGCGGCGTCGGATAGGCGAGCCCTCGGCGCCCCCCTTTTGGGCGCCCTCTCAAAATCGATGGGGGGAACGTTGCCTGGCCGCCAATCCACGCAACCAGCCCGAACAAGCACATCAAATATTAGGTGGCCGACCGACCCAAATATCGCAATTTCAATAGGCAAATGAAAAAACGGGGGCGCGAAACACTGGGCGACGAGGCCTTGACCCAGCCGACGCGGCACCAGCGGGCAACGGGGCAGAGGCGAGCTGGACACAAGAAGAGAAAAAGCACAGAGAGGGAAAACAAACAAACGACAAACCTAAAACAACACAACTTGCGCCAGGCAGGGCGGAACGCGGCCCAGATAGCCGCGGAAGACGCTGACGAGGCTGATCCCGCATCGGTGGGAGCGTAGTCGCGCGCCCACTTCCAGGCGGCCGCGGTTCCGCGACAAAAGCGAAGCAAGAGCAACGCGGGAACGCGCGCGCTCCAAGCACTCGCGGCCCCGCAAAAGCTCAGAGCGGGGCCAGAAAGAGGCCCCCCACCCCCTCGTGCCACTGGCGGCCGCGGCTGACCTATCCCGAGACGTCATGGGCCCATCGTGGCGCATGAACAGCAGCTGCCCCGCGCCTTGGCGATAAGGGTTGCACCGCGATAAGGTGCACGCGACTTAACTTGGCGCGTGTAGCCCTGGCGTCCATCCATGGCCACTACATGTAGGTCGCGACCGATAAAGCCTTTGGCGTGTCCATCCGCCGCCATATCCCGGTCGTCGCGCCACTGCGCTTTCCTCGCGACGCCGAACGCCAAGCAATCTCTCAGCCAACTGACGTGGCCCAGCGGCGCCCTCCCAACGTGAGTTTCCGAATCCTTGCCGGAGCGAGACCTGCGCGCGGATTCGGCATCAATCGCGAGGGGCGCCGCGTCACAGAGCCCACATTGTTCGCGAGGATACCTGGGCCCAGAGAGGGGGTCAGCGACCCCTTCGCGAGCACAAGTAGCGCCACTAAAATAAGAGAACACACGTTCGCGTTGCGGGCGGCATCGCGCGCCTCAGCAGCGTGACTGAACCGGGCGTGGAAGCGATGAGACTTGCGCGGGCTGTCGACGCAGTGGATCGCCGCTGCTCGCAATTCCACGGCGCAGCAGGTCGCGGCCGCGAAGGCCATGACCTTTCGCCTCGTCGCGCTCCTCTCTGGTGAATTGTGTTGCCCGGGTCGCTGCGTAGATCCACCGCGCCGCGTGGCGGCGCCGCGCGGCATGCGCCCTGGGCCGTTGCAATGGTTTGCGAGTGAGGGCAACAAGGCGTCTCCACTGGAGGTTAGTTGGTGTTTGACTGCGTTGTCGTGAGGGAATATACGCCGTAATCTAGAATTGAATGAGAGCCGAGTAAGCAAGGGCACCTCGAAGACTGACGGGCATGTAGCTGCCGCTCTTGATGGCCGTCGAACCTGGCGGTGCTCTGGCGAGGTCGGGGCGGGCACTTGTGAGAAGTCGTTTGATGTAGTCGTCTTGATCCATGGTCGCGTCGCCCCCCGTTTCTCCGCACATGTCGCCGCGCAGTTCGCGTGCGCATGCTTATCGAGCCCGCGCTTCCCACGTAGCTATTCTACTTTGTGCTCGTGAGATCCGACGGTGGCCTCCTGGCCACGCGTGCGAATGTCATCCGCGCGTTCGGCAGTTAATTGCGCGGATATGGCGCAGCTGCATTTCTCGGCCATGGATCAACGTTCGGAGACCGATGCTCGGCGTGGCTCCCTTAAGATTGAAAGGGGGGAACCTCGTGGAGCACCCGTTGTGCTGGCGCCGGGCCCGAGCTGCGCGAGGCCGCGACGAGACGCGCCGCGGTCCTCGAACCCAGGTAGCGCGCAGGATGAAGGCACTTCCAGGAGGCAAACAATGCAGCTCGTTCTTGTTATCCCGTCGCGTTTGCAATGTCTTTGCCGGGTAGGCCGTCGAGAAAGGATTCATCCATGTCCAGGCCGGCGAAGATCCAGCGCTCGCGCAAGGCCGCTTTGAACGCAAGAACGCGCGGCGAGGTGCGCCGCGCTGTGCCTGGGAAGGCCTCTACGGAGAATGCCCCTTGGCCCATCAGACCTCCCAGCGCCGCGCGGAGCCAGATGCGTCTCTCAGCGTTGCCGGGGGCTGTCTTCGCGAACTTCCGATTGTAGTCGCGTCGGGGAGGTCGCGGCATCTTGGGCCATGGGAAAATGCAGACGAGTAAATCATCGGTTCTCAAACCGCATTTTCAATTCGGCCAGAAGGGCACTCGGCGTAGGACGACTGGGGATGCCCCGCTCGGCAAGCGCGCCATCGCGACAGCGCCGTGAATTTTCCGCCGAAGCGAAGACGGGCACTGCAGCTCGCCAGGGCGCACGGCATTGAGCTGAGGCCCGACCGAAACTACTTCGGCCATGTCCCCAATGGAAATGCCCTGTCTTACTTGCCCTGGGCGACGGTGTCGAGGTCGCAGCGTCCATCTGCAGCTTCCTGAGCAAGCGCTTCGATGGCCAGGGCACGGCCCCCAGAGATTCGATGGGCGAATAACACGTCGTGATGGACATGTTCTCGAAGGTATA